CTAGAATGGGGTGGAGTAAGGCAAATGGTAGTAAGGTTGATTCTCAGTTGTTGCCACAGGCAAGGGAGTGTGGGTAGCCCTCACCCCATTTGAAGGAATGGTTTCCCTATATTTCTCGGTGGATAACCTGACCTGAATAGCCCAGGCTAGTCCGGTCTCATCAGATCTCAAAAGCTAAGCAGGGTCAGCCCTGGTTTGGGAAGCCTAGGATTGCTATGCAGAGGAAGGCAATGACAAACCTCCTCTGAACATCTCTTGCTTTGAAAACCCCACAGGGTTGCCATAAATTGGCTGTGCTTGATGGCATTTTCCACTACCAATGTTTGAGTACTGCACTGTTGTGATACTTTGGGTCTAGCTTAGGGGGATCCTGCAGGGGGTCATGTTGCCTACCCCAAAGGGTGTTTACATTATAAAGTTCTTCCCTCCATAAATATCCTATCATAAAAATGGACAATTTTCTAGTTTTATTTATTTGTTTGTTTGTTGTTTGATTCATTTATACCCTGACTTTCTCCGCAGTGGGGACACAGAGTGGCTTACATAGTTCTTCTCTCCATTTTATCCTCACAACAGCCCTGTGAGGTAGGTTAGACTGAGAGTGCCCAAGGTCACCCAGTGAGCTTCCATGACAGAGAGGGGATTCGAACGTGGGTCTCCCAGATCCTAGTTGGACACTCTAGCCACTACACCACATTGGCTTTTATAGAACTGACAGTTTTATCATTTTTTTTTAAATGACAGTATTCAGAAACTAGGGCATTTGGTTGCTGATCTGAAAGATATTGTACTCCTACAAATGAACTTCAAGGGGAGAATCCAATGTGAAATTTCTTAATTGAAATTCATCAACAAGCTTAAGACTATTTGTTCCCCCTCCTTAACAGGGACTTGGGATTCCTCACTTACTATAGGTGCTAATACCTGGTATATCCTAAATCCTTACAGATATCAATTCAGCTAGATCTTTGTAGCTTCATATTGTAGCTTTTTATCTAGCATTAGATTTTCTGTCAGTCTTTGCCTGACTAACAGTTAGGGGGTGACCCTTGCCCTGTCTGAGAGAACCAATTGCTCTTTTTATTGGAACCTACGTTAAACTGGCCTCTCTTTGTAACCTTATTTATAACAGTTTTATTTATTTATTTAAAATATTTATAATCCACCTGACCACCTTTTTAGTGAATACAAAAGCCTCAGTCTAATGGATGTACACTCCAATGCATCTGATAAAATGAATTTTGACTCGTGAAAGCTTATGCGGGACTAAATTTTGTTAGTCCTTAAGGTGCCACTGGATTCAGTTTGTTTATTCAATCAGTTGTCTTTAATTGAATTGACATGGCTGCTTACAAATGCAACCAAATAAATCAGTCAGACTTTTCCTGTCTTTTTTCTCCTTCCAGCTTCCCCTTTAGTAACCAAGGCGAAGCACCTGAATCTGCGACGAGATGACTTTGAGATCTTGAAAGTGATTGGACGAGGGGCTTTTGGAGAGGTGGGTGCCAACAACAGCCATCTTTGTGTCTGGGAAATATGGAGACAGGTGCCCTCCAGGTAGGGTTGCCAGGTCTGGGTTGGAAAATACCTGGAGACTTTGGGGGTGGAGCCAGGAGAGGGCGGGATTTGGGGAGGGGAGGGGCCTCAGCAGGGTACAATGCCATAGAGTCCACCTTTCAAAGCGGTCATTTTCTCCAGGGGAGCTGGAGATCAGTTGTAAAAGCGGGAGATTCCCCAGGCCCCACCTGGAGGCTGGCAACCCTACCTCCAGGAGAGAGGCCTTTGGGGTATTTTAATTTATACGGGGCTGTTCAGGAAGCTTGTGGAGGATGAAGCCCCTACTGAAAAGGGCTAATAGTAAAGAGCGGTGCCCTGAATGTAGTCTGATTCCTGGAGATGAACTGAATTTACCTGGATGGTTGATTTCCAGGCAACTGGGGGCAGTAGTAGGGTAAAAAATGGATGACCTCAGCAGTTCCCCTACATTGTTTGGGAAAATGCATATTCAGGTCATGACAAAGAGTGAAAATGTTTAGATCAGGGGTCACCAACCTTTTTGAGCCTGTGGACACCTTCAGAATTCTAACACAGTGGTGGGCACAGTTGCAAAATGGCTGCCACTGGAGGCAGAGCCAACCAGAAAGTGTCAGGGATCAAGGTTCTGTCCTACTTCAGTAGTAACTCTTCAACATTTCAGACGGAAGCTCTGTTGAACAGGATCCCTTTTAATCTGCACAGCCAGTCAGAAGCCTTGCTGGGAAAAAGCCCCACCTAGCTCCGACACTTTCTAAAAGCTCTTGGCAGGCACCAGGGAAGGTGTTGGTAGATGCCGGCACCATGTTGGAGACCCTGGTCTAGATACCATAAATGACTGTGTCTTTGAAGATGGGAGACGATTCTGGTTTTTGTTGTTCAGTCGCACAGTCGAGTCCGACTCTTCGCGACCCCATGGACCAGATCACGTCAGGCCTTCCTGTCTTCCGCCGTTCTCTGAGGTTTGCTCAATTGGACATGGCCTCAAATAGTGCTCGGGAGCTGTTGTGAGATATAAATATTGTTGAATCGTTTGGGGACATTGGGGAACACCATGCTATTCAGTTTTGTATTTATATAAGTGGAATGTTGTCCCTAAAATCCAACATGGCTACATTTAATTTCAGAGGAGGAAACCTTAAAAAATTTAGGATATTATTAAAAATGAGGTTGAAAGGGAGATTTAAAGAGAGACAGTGCATTTTAGGATGCTTGGAAATTATTTAAAACCATTATAACTGAAGCTCAGATAGAGTGTACATGAGAAATTAGGGAAGGTAAACATCAACTTTGAAAGGATGCCATCATGGTTTAATGAATAAAGTCAAGGAAGATAAGAAAGACCCTCTTTAAAAAATGGGAGTTTTCTTCAAATGAGGAAAATAAAAAGGAGTACAAACTATGGCAAAACATATTTTGAGTTGGCAACTTGGCAACAAAAAGGGATTTTGAGGACAAATTAAGACAAACCATAAACGTTACTTTTAATGTATCAGGAAACCAGCTCAGTTGGCCTGTTAGACTGTGTAAAAGCATTGATAGCAGAATATTTTGTACTAGACAAGCTAACAGATAAGATTAAGCAAGCAGAAAACAGTGAATATTTCTCAGTGTTTACTGAAAAATGGTTCCCTATCTTATTATATTTGTCAAATAATGATATAAGAATAATCCCGTTATATATTCAGAAGTTGCTGATTTATTAAGCAAGGTTAGTGGTTATGGTAAATGTTAATTGTTGTTTCTTATTTTTGTTATTAAGTTAATGTTTATAAAGGAAATTATTATTTATCAAGAGATTCCCTGTTCCCCTATTATGGAATCTGATAGGAAAGGGTGGTGGTGGTTACATTTGCCGTGATTCATGGAACATTCATTACTGTAACTTTTTTGGGGATTTTGGCTGTCATTTAATATCATTTATTTCAGTTATTTCGGTTGGTTTTGTTATAGTTATTGTGAAAATTAATAAAATGGTTTTTTTAAAAAGACTGTGTGAAAGCATTGCTAAAGGAGGACAGGGAGAATGCAGAGAAGCTGAATTAATTATATGTTCTATCTTCACTGTGGAAAATATTGGATGGATAATATGCCTGAATCACTACATAACTGGACATTTCAAACAGTTTTGCATAAAATCAGTCAATGTTTCTGAGTCGATTTAGGAGTCATGAGTTTAGCGAAGAGAATGGATTTCTTCCTGTGGATTAATAACCAGTTAAATATTAGAAAGCAGAGGGTAGGAATAAATGGACAGTCCTTATAGTTAAATGATATATGTAGATATATGTAGATATATGAATTGGGACCAGGGCTATTTAACTTGTTCGATTTGTTCTGGAATTGGAGTGTTTGTGACCAAGTTTGCAGATGATATCAAATTATTTAGGATGGTGAAAATCAAAAAGAGCTTCAAAAGAGATCTTAACAAACTGGTAGGCAGCAACATAGCAGACGAGTTTCCCCATTAGTCAGTGTAAAGTGAGACACGTTGGAGCATAAATGACTAACCTTAGATATGTACCAATAGAACCTGAACCTGGCAGAGATTGACCAGGAAAAGATCTTAGGCTGATGGTGGACAGCTCAGTGAAAATCCAAAAATTGCCTCCCATGGTATCCCAAAATCTACACCTGTGGTGGGCTACCTCATTCCGGTAGCCCTTTGTACTGGCCATGCTGATGTTTAGTGAGAAACGGGCTCTTCTTACATGTGTCCTCTCTCTCCTCAGGTGGCAGTAGTGCGAATGAAGGAGACAGACAAGGTTTTTGCGATGAAGATTCTGCACAAATGGGAAATGTTGAAGAGGGCTGAGGTAGTATATCCCAATCCTTTGTTCAGCCCCCTGGGCCATGACAGCAGAAGGGTCTCCTTTGGAGGGGGGAATGTAGGAGCCAAGAGTGGACCTCTTAAGAAAAGGGACAGACATAGTTGTCCCTCATTTAGGATGAATTGGATAACCACCCTTGGCCCCATGCTTTTCGGGACTCTTCATTTCCTGGGTGGCAGGCTTTGTTTGAGGCCTATCACTGGAGCAGTCTTAGCTCGATCTAGGGTTGCCAGGTCCCTACCTACTGCCAGTGGGGGGATGGAGCTTCTTTTCTGGGATCTTCTGGCATATGCGTGTAGTGCGTGCGCCGCAGTGACGTCACCTAGAAGTGATGTCATCGTGCTAGGCACATTGCCATGGGGATGCTTTAGCATTTGACCAGAAACTGTACAGTACAATAGAGTTTTTAGGCTGAGTGCTAGAGCGTCCCCCCGGCAATGTGCTCGGCACGATGATGAGCACGTTGGCACAATCCCGGCACTTTGGGGGTGGAATTCCCCCAGCTGGCTGGATCTGGGGCGGTGGATCAGGGGGCCCTAAGGCGGGCAACCCCCACCCCCTCCGGGGGAATGGCAAGCCTAGCGTGCCGAAGGTCCCAGGTTCAATTCCCAGGGTCTCCAGTTAAAAGGACCAGGCAGTAGGTGATGTGGAAGACCTCAGCCTGAGATAGGGTTGCCAGCCCTGGACTGGGAAACACCTGGAGGAGATTTTGGGGTGGAGCCGGGAAGGGGGGGGTTTGGGAAGGGGGGGGGACATCAGTGGGTATAATCCCATGGACTCCACCTTCCAAAGTGTCCATTTTCTCCAGGTGAACTGATCTCTGTCACCTGGAAATCAGTTGTAATAGCGGGAGATCTCCAGCCACCACCTGGAGGTTGGCAACCCTAGCCTGAGACCCTGGATAGTCATTGCCAGTCTGAATAGACAACAGAGAGCCAGTTTGGTGTAGTGGTTAGGAGCGTGGACTCTAATCTGGGAGGACCGGGCTTGATTCCCCACTCCTCCATGTGCAGCTGCTGGTGTGACCTTGGGGCAGTTACAAGTTCTTTCAGAGCTGTTCTCTCAACAGCAGTTCTCGAAAGAGCTCTCTCAGCCCCACCTACCTCACAGGGTGTCTGTTGTGGGGAGGGGAAGGGAAAGGAGATTGTAAGCCATTCTGAGATTTCTTTGGGTAGTGAAGGGCGGGGTATAAATCTCTTCTTCTGCTGACACTGATGGACCAAGGGTCTGGTTCAGTATAAGGCAGCATCATGTGTGTTCATGTGCCTCTGTTTCTCTGCTCCCCCCCCCCCAGCCCCGAGAAGTCTCCCTGTACCCAGAGATCTGGTTTGCACACTATCTGTGATGCAGGCATGAGCCCTTTCGGAACCCTTGCAGGTGCCTTCTGGGACAGCAGGTTCAGACATGGCAACGTCTGGGCAGTTTGCAAGCCGGGTCAGCCACCATCAGGTTGAGTTCTTGCAAGGGGTCATTCCCCCCCCAGAAGGGTGGACAAGGGAAGCTGGTAAAGAGTTTCCCAGGAAAAGCATCGGAGAGATAAGAGGGACCACCCTGTACTAAGTCAGCCCATAGTTGGTCTGTTACACACAGCCTAGTAGTCTTTGCCTGGCGGGCAGCCCTCTTCACCAAGCTGTCAGGCAGCGGGAGATCTTTCCTAGTTGTCCTTCTTAGTTTCCTATAATGGGAGATTCCAGGGGTAGAGCTCCCAGACTCCCATGAGGGAGGTGAACAATAACTTGTGGACTGCCCTGAGGTTGTCACCTTGCTGGGCCATCCCTCCGCTGCACCTCCCACTCTTTTACCTCTTCCCTTCCCTTTGCAGTACCTTGTGATGGATTACTATGCAGGAGGTGACCTGCTCACCCTCTTAAGCAAGTTCGAGGACCGCCTGCCTGAGGACATGGCCTGTTTCTACGTGGCCGAGATGGTCCTGGCCATCCACTCCATCCACCGACTCAGATACGTCCACAGGTATCCGCCACTTGGCATCTCGACCAGCTACAGCCCTCGCCTCTCAGCCTGTGTAAAAGGAGAAGGGCCTTACCTGCCCTTGACAGTGGTCCAGAAGGGATGAAATGGTGTAGCCCTTGCCCCAGCTGAGGGTGCTTGTCTTAGGCCAAAATGTACATAACTGTGTGTCTCTTCGGGACCTGAGTGATCTCAAGTGAAGAAAGGTGGAAAGAAAACAAGAAACCCAGGAAGAGGACTGAGAACCTCTGGATCTCTTAACCCTAATCCTACTAGAGTTCACTGTTTTCCAAACCACAAAGGAGCCCTCCTGCCTCCCTGCCACCCCCTCTTCGAGTTCACAGGTTCTGTTTCCTTCCCAGACCTGGGGAAAAAACCCATCTACCATATGTGGGTGAACCAGCCCTTTAACTTAGTGGGAAAGTTCCCAGTGGACATCTCCCCTGGAGGGCAGCCAGGGGCAAACAGAACCAAGGACACTCCACAGGAGCCACTGTGCTTGAACCCAGGCTGTGGTGGCAATGACTTTGGCCCTGGGGTATTGCCAGTATAAGTTGGCACAGCTTGCTCTAGGGCAGTTTTAAACCCCCAGTCCACTCCTGCTATCAAATATCTCTTGGTCCGTCCCCTCCCCCCTTCTGATCTTCTAGCCCTGGATTTTAGCTCCAGCATCTACCTTCTAGGGGTGCTGCTGCTCCAGAGACATTTCAAAAATCCAGGAGCCATGGTTCATGTTATCGCGGCTGTGTGTGTGTGTGTGTGTGTGTGTGTGTGTGTGTGTGTGTGTGTGAGAGAGAGAGAGAGATGTAGCTTTCTCCATGTTCAGAATGTGCTAACCAGAGATTCATATGTGGACTCAGTTTATTGTCTTACCCCCTTCCAGTGCCGCTCAATGCTTTTAAAAAGTTAATGAAGTTTTTTATTAAAGCACCGCATGTAAGTTCAGTCAGTTGAACATCTATTCTTCATCTCTTTTAAGTAAAAAGAGCACACCCATTTTTTTTAACGCTGCTTCAGAGAGAGAGGAGAGAAGAGGCTTTGGAGTGTCATTTAGCCAGCCAATCACATTGCTATATGCAGCAAGTGGGAAGAACAGCTGTTCTTTGAGATTAATCCTAAAGAGAAGAGTGTTATGTCTGGACAAAATGCAGCGATTGCATTTTTTTGCAGCTGGCTCACAGCTCAGCTTGCGTCTGAGTACACTAACAGTCTTAGTTTGCACCTGCGCCCCCCGCACAGCCCCTTGCTTACTAGTGTTGCCTCCATCTCTGCAGGGATATCAAGCCAGACAACATCCTCATTGACACAAACGGGCACATCCGCCTGGCTGACTTTGGCTCCTGTCTGCAGCTGCGTCCTGATGGCACGGTGAGTCTCAATTGTGTCTTGGGGCAGTGCGCAGGGCAGGGACTGCCTCCTTGGGACAGGAGCATCAGATACATCCTGTTGCAAGTGGCTTTTGCCAATTCATCTCAAGTCTTGACTGACACTTTTGAAGGACTGGTTGTCTTTTGTGGTGTGTGAGGTTTCACTGACTTATTCCAATGTATAGCCCATTCCACTGCAAAGGTGGCTTAGTACACTGGGCTACAGACGGTATGCGCTGTAAGGTTTAAAAAAGTAACCTATTCCCTTCAAACTATAAATTAAAAAAGCAACAATAAAGTGCAATTGAATAGACAAAATATAATATTAAATTCCTGCACAAGTCAGATGCAGAGACATGCTACTTGCTACATAGGTTTGGATGGGGTCTTCCTTGGAAAGGACCCCCATAAATGCAGGGCTGTCTCTGAGAACAATCTCTTGCTGACTGAATCCAGTGCATAGAATGGCCTGTCAAGAAGATGCATTTGTGGATTTTGAAAACTGTAGTGGGATGCAGGGGAAACTACACCCCAAACTACACTGGCACTGATGAATGTGCCCTGAAACATCTTCTGGCCTGAAATCTAGAACATCTTCTGGCCTGAGACTTCGCTGGATGCTACTCCTATCATTGGATGCCATCATCTGTCGGTTTTATTTGTGAATAGTTGCTGTTTTTAACTTGGTACTGTATTTATTAATTGTTTTAATCCCAGTATTGTTTACGTTATTTTAACTTTGTTAGCCTCCTTGAGCCAACGTGCCCGACAAGGCGGGATATAAATAGAACAATCAATCAATCAATCAATAAACAACACACTGACCCTCAAGCTCTTCTCCATCCTCAGGTGGTGTCTCCGGTGGCAGTAGGGACTCCTGATTACATTTCCCCTGAGATCCTGCAGGCCATGGAGGACAGGAAGGGGAAATACGGCCCAGAATGCGACTGGTGGTCACTGGGGGTCTGCATGTATGAGCTGCTTTTCGGGGAGACGCCCTTCTATGCAGAGTCCCTGGTGGAGACTTATGGCAAGATCATGAACCATGAGGTGAGCAGGGCACTGTGGGGAAGACCTGTGGAGTGAGGCGTTGTGGGAGCACTAGGAGAAATGGACACAGCAGATGATTTATCAAGGAGATTGTGGGCATATTTTTCAATGCCTCCCATGTGGCTTTTCGACATCATTTACTATGGAGGCCCAAGTTATGCACGTTGCCAGGCTGGCGTTTTTCCATCTTCGCCAAGCTCAGCAACTGGTTCCTTTCTTGTCAAGCTCTGACCTAGCCAACAGTAATCCACGCAACGGTCACCTCCAGGCTTGACTACTGTAATTCGCTCTATGCTGGCCTACCCTTGAGACTGACCCAGAAACTCCAGCTGATCCAGAATGCGGCAGCGCAACTCCTGATGGGCACATCACAGACGGCACATATTCAACCTGTGCTGCACCAGCTACACTGGCTTCCAGTGGAATACTGAGTCAGGTTCAAGGTTTTGCTATTGACCTTCAAGGCCTTGAGCGGTCTGGGACCAATGTATCTGCAGGACCATCTCCTCTGGTATTTCCCCGGGAGAGCTTTACACTCTGCACATAACAACCTTCGGGTGATCCCTGGCCTCAAATATGTCCAGCTGTCCTTGACCTGGTGGAACTCTCTGTCTAATACCTGTGGGATCTTATGCAATTCTGCAGGGCCTGCAAGGCAGAGGTGTTCCACCCAGCTTTTGGTTAAGGACAGCAACGGTTTTCTATCATGGCTGGCACCCTCTTCCCTTTCCCCCTCTCCTCAATCTTGATCTTGTACTTCCTCTCCCCCCTGCCCAGAAAGTGACCAGTTAGTTCAGAACCGGGATGTAATTTTTAAGGACCCCATCTGGGACTTCTTTTAATCTGGTCTTCTTCATCCTGTCATTCTATTTTGTTATATTTGAGTTTTTAATGTTTTGTACATTCATTTTATGGCTCTGAGGCTCTGCTGTACATTGCCCAAAGCCCGGCACAAGCTGGGATGGGGCAATTAATCAAATAAAAAATATAATAATAATCAGGATAAAGGGGGTCCTCCCTTTCACTGGAGACAGCCAGAGCTGGGACAGGTTGCTGAGTAGCCTGGATAGATAGCCAACTCAAGATCATTTTGGTTTAGTGGACGGATTTGCTCCTGTTCAGTAGATGACTGATGGTGCCATTTGGAATCTGGGTGCAAATCCCCACCCCACCCCCATCATTTTTGGGGTCATTTGCATGAATCGTCTGGAGCTGTCTGTTTTGCAAGCTTATATGCTGTCTGCTTGCGTCACTTTATGGTCTGGGTGGCAGGGTATGCATGTGGGGTCGAGATCCCTGCCTTTGATCTTGGGGGTGGTGGTCATAGAATAGAATCATAGAATCACAGAGTTGGAAGGGGCCATACAGGCCATCTAGTCCAACCCCCTGCTCAATGCAGGATCAGCCTAGAGCATCCCTAAGTGGACTGGATGGCCTTCGAGTGCCTTTAGCTATGCAGTGTGTATTCCAAGCCCTGGGGGAGGGGTTGTAAGAGCTGCATGCAGATCATCATCAGAACCAAAATTCCCTGGACAAATATGTTTGATTTCCTTCCTCCACTTAACCCTACTGGAAATGGCATCTCGATGTACTTTTCCCGAGCACTGACTGGCGTCTCCCCTTTGCTGCCCCTTGTTTTTTCATCCTTTCTCACAGGACCACCTGCAGTTCCCCGCCGACATCACGGACGTCTCTGAGGGTGCCAAGGACCTCATCCGGGGGCTGCTGTGTCGCCAGGAGTTGCGCCTTGGCCAGAAGGGCATTGAGGACTTCAAGAGGCACCCTTTCTTTGAGGGCATTGACTGGGACAACCTCCGCAAGAGCACACCACCCTACGTGCCCGAGGTGACCAGCCCTGCCGACACCTCCAACTTTGACGTGGATGACGACACGCTCAAGGAGTCGGTGAGTGGTGAAGGGCAAAAGGTGCACTTTTCGCGTGAGGGCTGGTGCTGAGCTGCCCCTTGCCCAGAGCATCCAGGACATGGCACTGCTGTTGTGTGCAAACGCTGGCTGTGGAGCTATTTCCAGCTTGTCCTGCATAACTGTCTGTATGGACTGTCTGGTCAGAGCAGATCAACCACCTCACAATGCCAAGTTCAGACAGGGGGTAAAATTCCCTCACTGTCCCCCAGCTGTCTCTTACCTTCCTCCCACTCTGATTACATGTATGGATAACTCAGGAGGAAGCAGACACCCCAAAAGAAGCTGCCTGCCCCCTTTTCATAAATGTTAAGAGCAGCAGACCCCACTGAATAGGTTTCCTCTCCTCTCCGCCCTTCAAGGAGACGTTGCCGCCGGTGTCTCATGCTGCTTTCTCTGGCCACCACCTTCCGTTCGTTGGATTCACCTTCACGTCTGGAGGGTGAGTACAGCCCCAGTTTTATTTCCTCTGTCTGTCACATACGCAGATGTGTACCTCCTTCTCAACTGCCAATGACTGTGTGGGTCTTTCCTGCCCCTCCCTGGAAGTGAGATCTACCCGTGCCTTTGAAAATGTCCACTCAGTGTGGGGTAGTGGCAGCAACAAAGGCAGGCTTCATACTGGGCCTTCTGAGGGAAAAGGCCGAGGAAAAGGCCAGAATCATCATTCCTTTATATAAATCCATATAAATCCTTTATATAAATCTTGCAAACCAACCAAAGACCAAGCCCTATGAGGAAAGGCAGAGGGACTTGGGAATGTTCAGTTTGGAGAAGAGGAGGTTGAGGGTGGACATGATTTCTCTCTATAAGTATTTGAAGGGCTGTTGCTTAGAGGAGGGGGCAGGGAGCTGTTCCTGTTGGTAGCAGAGGAGAGGACTCGCACCCTTTAAATTAAGGGTGGGAAGGTACCAGTCGGATATTAGGAAAAACTTTTTTACAGTAAGAGTTGTGCAACAGTGGAATCAGTCGCTCCCCCTCACTGGCAGTCTCGAAGCAGCAGATGGACAAACTCTTGTCAGGGATACTCTAGGCTGATCCTGCGTTGAGCAGGGGGTTGGACTAGATGGCTTGATGGCCTTTTCCAACTCTGTGATTATATGATTCTACCAAACAAGAACAGGTGTTTTGGGGCAGTTCACACACTGGGTGTGTTCAGACAGCGTGCTGAGAGCGGTTTAAACTGGTCCGGTTCTGCCACTATTATTTTTGATCTGGATAATCACGATCACACTTACCTCCCTTATCCTGCCTCACCGTGCAGTCACATCGCTCCCTGGCTTCTACACTACTGACACGCAGGAGCGTGTGTCGGTGGGTTTTTTAAAATTTTTCTCAGTTTGCGCATCCACATAGGCACTCATCTATAGAGTGGGGGAAAACTATCATGGCGCATGCGCAGAACCACCAGGGCGAATCAATCCAACCCCTCCAACAAAAGACTTCCCTTTAAACGTTTGACCCGAAAATGGCCTCCGTGAGATCCGAACTCATCTAAACGTTAAAACAAGTGACCGTTTAAATGTCGGTTTTCTAAACACAGTAGCGGAGCTCCACCTATGCGCACACCGCTGACGCATTAAAAAAATGGCAGGCGAAAAGCGGAAGCCTCAGGCAGTTTTCGAGCGGGGAGGGGGTTTAAACCGGAAGTGGCTTGAAACCAGAGGAGCGATCACACAGGGGGGAAATGCGGCTTTAAATGGGAGAGCTGAGAAAACACCACTTTGGGACCTGGTAACAAAATACTCCGGTTTAAAGGGGTTTTTAGCCGGAAACCAGCAGCTGGGGACAGGAGGCAGATGTTGACTGTGTGATCGTGCATATAAAATCCGTTGCTGCACTGTCACGCCACCAGATCAAACGGCGCGTCTGAACGCACCCACTGTGACGTATATAAAGGACATGTTTTTATGTTTCTATGTTTTATAAACCTATATCGTAGTGTTTTATAATGTTATATGGTTTTATTGGCAATGTGCCAATGTTGTAAGCCGCCCTGAGCCCGCATGCGGGGAGGGCGGGATATAAATCGAATAAATAAATAAATAAATAAATAAGGTCCCTTCCCTCCCTAAACGCCACTCTCCCAGGCTCCACTCTTAAAATTCCAGGTATTTCCAAACCTGGAGTTGGCAACCCTGTCATGCTGGAAAGTGCCATCAAATCGTAGCTGACCTGTGGCAACCCCATAGGGTTTTCAAGGCAAGAGACGAACAGAAGTCGTTTGCCATGGCCTGCCCCTGCATAGCAACCCTGAGCTTCTTTGCTGGACTCCCATCCAAGCACTAGCCAGGGCCGACCCCGCTTAGCTTCTGAGATCTGATGAGAGAGGGCCGGCCTGGGCCCTCCAGGTCAGTGCTGGGGGCTCTTTCGCTTAAAGAAAAGGTGACCATGGTGGGAACAGGGACATAATAGGGAGGAATGAGAAAGGCTTGAGCCCAGTGAGAGAAAGGAATACTTGATGCCGTGCATAATTTAGTTGTAGAATGTATTGCCATAAGGTGTGGTGACGGATGTTGGCATGGATGTCTTTAAAAAGCAATTACATGAATCCATGGAAGAGGGAGGGGCCCAGCTAAAGTTATTAGCCACCGTAACTACCTATTTATCAAGCACATTTTTGAAATCCCGCCCTTCCCTTAAGGAGCTCAGAGCAGCCTGCACGGTTCTCCTTTCCTAATTTTATCCTTACAACAACCTGTGAGGTAGGTTAGGTGGAGAGACAGTGTGACTCGCCTGAAGTCACATAGTAAGCCTCCGGGCAGAATGGGGATTGGAACGCAGGCTTCCCGAATCCTTTTGAAAACAAAACCTCTGGATTGCAGCTGCTGTGAGGAGCACCACAAAAGAGCAGCTGTTCGTCTCACAAACTGCCTGTGGACGTCTTCAAATCCATGAGGCTGAACCTCATGGGAGCCAGTTTGGTGTAGTGGTTAGCAGTGTGGATTTGAATCTGGGAGAACTGGCTTTGATTCCCCACTCCTCCACATACAGCTGGTGGTGTGACCTTGGGTCAATCACAAGTTCTCTCAGAGCTGTTCTCACATGAGCAGTCCTCGAACGAGCTCTCTCAGCCCCACCTACCTCACAGGGTGTCTGTTGTGGGGAGAGGAGGGGAAGGGAAAGGGATTGTAAGCTGCTCTGAGACTCCTTCAGGTAGTGAAGGGCAGGGTATAAATCCAATCTCTTCTTCACTGCTGGAGACAGACAGGGTGCAGGGCTAGAAGGAACCTGGGTGTTCTTATAGAACACATACATGGGATCTCCTGCTTGCACTCCACTTTAAATCGATTTAATGTGGACAATTTAACACTTTCCATAATATGGATTGTTTGGAATCCCCTTCCTAAACATGAATTAAAGGGCCGTGGAGGCAGAGAGGGGTACTCCATTTTGTCAAATCTTTGAGGTAGGGCTGAATGGGTGCACATTTTATTTTAATGCTGGCTTTATCCTTCCCTTCCTCCGAGGGCAACATACATAATTTCATTCCCCTCCCCTATTTTATTTTCACAACAGCCCTGTGAGGCAGGCATAGGCTAGACCAGGGGTCCCCAAACTTTTTGAGAATTGAGAGCACCTTTGGAATTCTGACACAGGGCGGCGGGCAGAATCTCAAAATGGCGGCCTCAGGAGGCGGAGCCAATCACAAAGCGTCAGGGAGCAAGGCTATGTGTAACTCTGATAGCACCTCTTCAACATTTCAGGCAGAAGCTCTGTTGAACAGGATCCCTTTTAATCTGCACAGCCAGACAGAAGCCTTGCTGGGCAAAAGCCCCAGCTAGCCCCGCCCACATTCTATAAGCACTTTATAGATGCCTTGAAAAGTGTCGGAGGAAACCACAGCACCCACAGGGCACCCCTTTGAGGGCCCTTGGCTGAGAGAAGTGACTGGCTCTGGGTCACCCAGTTCTCTTGCTGCACTAATCTGCAGTCTGGGACCCCCAGTATGTGGTTTTAGTGAAGTGAGGATTTGAATCCACTCTGGAGACTCTGAGTACAGAACAGAAGACCCAGTCTGAGCCAGATTAATTAATGCCACATAGAATGAAGCCACCTTTTGTGGTCTGCCCCTTAGCAGTGGCAATAAGAGAGCCAAACCACACAACTACGAATCTCTGCAAATCCATTTTCCTCCTATGCATGCTTTAGCTGGTCTGTGCAAATTGTACCAGTTGTGTGCCAAAGTGGGCAGGGTGCTGACCCCCCTCCCTGTCCCCACAGCCCCCTTTTGGAGAGGCACCCGGCCTCCCCCTCGAGCAGCTCCAGCTCCATGCGGCTAGAGAAGAGGATCCGGACCCTGGAACGTGAGAAGCTGGATCTGGCTCGTAAGCTGCAAGGTGAGTTCTAGAAGAGGGCCCCACCAGCCCCCGTAGAGACTTCCGAGAATAGAAGCCCGGAGTCCAACGGCTCTGACCCAGCTCTGGACCTAACTTCAGCCAGATCTCTCCAGAGCACAGCCAGTGAAATAATAACAACAGTGGCTTGGAGCATGAACAGAGTGCTCGGTGCCATACACCTAGGATATAAGGGGCTCTGGGTTTATTTTTTAAGAAAAGCTGTCTCCCATTGCCTTAATAATCTATTCTTCTCCAATTGCTTGCTGAGAGTAGGGCACAGATCCTGGTGCCGAGCATCACACCAGCTTGTTGCCATCTTTTCAGTGGTAGACTCCCTCCCCCCCCTTCTTCCAAGATGGGGGTGCACAGAAGGGGCTGGCCATTTAACTTACGGGGAAAGTTTCCTGTGAACCATTGCTCTGGAGGATCGCTGGGAGCAAGCAGAACCAAGCCCCAGTAGCTCTGCCAGCACTGCATGGCCCCTCGATTCAGACCTGGCCAGCAGCGCCAGTGATGGTTGCTGGCTCCCCTGTTGCCTCTCCCAGTGGAGAAAGGACTACAGGCAGGAGTGGAGACAAGTGGCAGGTGCAGAACTGGCCACTAGGTCACTCAATCTAACTTGCTCCTGGCTCTTTTTAACTCCCCAGTCTGCCCCTCCCCATTCATGTTCTCAGAATTAATGTTCCATGTTTCTCTCTCTCTCTCTCTCTCTCTCTCTCTCTCT